TTGAACTAGTTCACGTAGATCTATTAACAATTCAAGGGGAAAAGTATTTGACAATAGTAGATAGTTTTTCTAAATATGCTCAGGCGTATTATTTGCGAGACGGCACTGCTGTCAGTGTAGTACAAGCTTTACTAATTTTCTGCACACATCATGGAATTCCAATTACCATAGTTTCCGATAACGGCCCTGAGTTTACCAACCAACTTATTGCAGAATTCGTTAGACTTCATAAAATTCAGCACCATAGAGTAGCCCCACATGCACCCAACGAAAATGGTATCGTTGAACGATTTCACGCCACCATATTAGAACATCTCCGTATTTTAAAGATAAATCAAAAGAATGAATCCGCTATTAACCTTATGCCCTATGCCCTATTAGCTTACAACCATAGTATACATAGCTTCACAAAATGCAAACCAATAGAAGTAATTACAGGACATTTTGACCCTCGCGATCCTTTTGACATAGATCTGTCCGCCCACTTACTTCAACAGTACGTCGTAAACCACAAAGACAGAATGACTGAGACCTATAAAACTATTCACGATCTATGTAACGACATGCGTAAAGACTTGACTAATACTCGCAATAAAAACCGAGAACAGGAAGCTGAATATTCCCCGGAACAACAAATCTTTATAAAAAATCCATTCGCATCCCGTCAGAAATTAGCTCCTCGATACACACACGACACAGTTATGGCAAACCTCCCAATTCACATGTATACAAAGAAAAAACGAGGCCCCGTAGCAAAAACTCGATTGAAGAGAATACCTAAAACGAACCAATTGTTACAGGACTCTCCTGGTACTTCATCTCCTTCTGGGACCAGCTCTAATGCAGGAGATAAGACTTGAAAGTCTTAGCGATGGACCTGGTATATTACCCTTCAAATTAGGCCCCGCTCGAATCCTATCCCACTACCATGCATTTCTGCAATATGTAAATCTCCAGGAATTAGGAGATAAAGTAAATTCAGTTAAAACACAGTTAATCAGTATTAGCCCTAACCTTAACAACATAACCAATTCGTTATTTCAGCCTCATATTGATTATCTTAAAAATAAGCTTGAAAGTGTCACCATACAGTTGAGTAGCTTTAAAACGAACCGTGAGAAAAGAGGACTTGTAGATGGTCTCGGTTCCATCATAAAAAGTATAACTGGTAACCTTGATTATACAGATGCAGATCATTTTAATCGTGCTATAAAATCCATCCACGAAGACGAAAATAAAATCGTTACGGAATTTAATAATCATGTAAGCCTAACTAAAGATTTATCAAATCAATACTCCAGAATAATAGATAGCATTGTAGATAATCAAAATAAATTAGAAATACTAATAGGTAAAATAAATCAATCCGAGGCTACCAGAGACTATGACCTAATTAAATATGCCCATTTTGGACAAGTACTAATGATCCTTAGTGATAACGTTGATTCCATTTCACAGGAATTAATTAAGTTACAGAACAACTTAGCATTTATAAGAGCTAACACTATGCACCACTCTATAGTTAATTTAAAATCTATCCGAATAATGATTAACAGAGCAACCGAACTTTATGGAAATAAAAAGGTAGGAGATTTAGATATTAGGGAATATTATGATATTATTAGATTAGGTTCATATTATGTAGGAAATGAAATAGTAATAGTATTTAAGTTCCCAATTCTATTACCCCATATATATGATATGTATAAGTTATCTATTGTTCCTAACAAGAGACACGAAATCCTCACACCACCCTTTCCATTCCTAGCCATTTATCAGAAAGATTTTCAGTACATAGAGGCAGAATGCCCGAAGACCAGTAAATGGTACATCTGTAAAGAAAAGCGGAGCCTGAGAGGTCAAACATCCCCTGATTGCATCCATCACCTCATCACTAAACAACAGACGAATGCAGTATGTAACCCGTATACAGTCACCCTAGATAAACCAGCTTACGAAGAACTGGACGACAAGCATTACACCATCACTTTCCCCACACCAACGAAAGTACATCTATCCTGTGGACAAGATCTCTACAAAATACTTCAAGGTAGTTATCTCGTTATTGTCCCTCTGAAATGCTACATAGAAACGCCACTATTCTCGATCTCAAATACTAAAGATCGATTGAAGGGACAAGCCTTAAAGATAATGGACATACCTGAGGAACACACCAGCATCCCATCTTCTGCATCGGCATATAAACTAAATTCAATAAACCTCCAACATCTTCATGCAACGAACACTAAAATATCCCAGCAATCGCCATTGAATTTAAGAAGAAACGATGACTACAGTCTATATCATACTACAATACCATTTTACGCATTAATAATAAGTGCAGGTGCACTGATTCTATGCATACTCTATAGAAGATACAAGCCGAAGCTAACTGGAGGTACGCAAAGGAACTCAGAAGAGGACCATCCTAAATCATTAAGGGTATACGCTGTTCCAGACACTGAGAAGATTGATCCCGATCAACTCCCAGCTCAATTCACGACCAAGGTCTTCCATAGTCGCTGTTCTTCGGGGGGAGGTGTTACGCAGCCCTAATCCAGGCAATCTGCTGCGTTGCATCGGCTTACGACGATCACGAGGCGCCGTGTCAGCATAACGTGTCTACTGTCTTATATTACCTGGATCTAATATTTTACCGTGTGAATCCATTCTACATTCAAACATCGAATTAGAGTCACCTCACTTAGTTATAAGAATTAATTGTAATAATTACTTTAAATTAAATATATATTAAATAAAGATTGCTTTTTTTTGCAACCTCTGGCTGGAGCCCACATAATTATCTGTCGGTTACCCTTATAAATTAATAAAAAAAAATAAACATGAAATAAAATATTTACTTTTTTTCTGCCCATCATAAGTTAACAACCGATACACAAAAATAAATTATTTTCTTCATTATGAGAAAAGTCCAGTCTTAACGAATAAACCAAACACAATAACTGCCTTTCTTCCTTTAAAATTTCTCTAATACTTTCACGTTTTTCGTAAACGTCAAACTCCCACTAGACACCCTGATCGCGACTGAAACAACGTGTCGCTTAAAGGCAGATAATTGATGACGATTGATGCCCGCAAGCGGTGATGCCGCATAAGCACCTCACAATGTGAATCTACCGATCCTATTCATAACTGCCTTTACGTTTTACGGTATTAACCGGTTAATTCGGGTGTCAAAACCATTAAGTAACCGGTACCCTTTATCGTTTAGGTTTAATAAAAACCGGTTATTTTTAAACTGGTAATTGAAGGAGCGATAAATTTACCGGTAATTAATCGAAATTAACCGCTCTTTTTAAACCGGTTCCGATCCCTGCTTCAGGGTATGTGTTTTGGCGGGAACTTGGCCGGCGGCGGTTTGCTGCTCCTGTATTATAGGGTTATTTTACACCATGTAAAAAAAATCAAAGAATATATATATTTATGATAGATTTTGTAAAAAGTAAACGAGAAATATTGATTTCTATTTAAAAAAATGCATTATAAATTTTGTACTTCAATTTAAAGAATAATTTTTTTACCTGTGCCTCAAATCTGGAAAAAGATGTTCGCCATATTAGATAGCGTCGTGACGTCACTAGGTCAAAGAACTAAGTTATGTGCTGTGTACTAAGTAGCTAATTTCGAAATTTTTCAAGTTATCATTACGATTGTTGGCTTTTATTCCGAATTTTATTGAAAAGGCATCATGGAAGACGGATTCGTAAAAGCGAGTTTATTACTTCGCTTTTAGTACTAATGTTATAGATATTATAATATAAGCTTAGGTGAGAAAAACTTTTTGTTATATTTTTTGTACAAACCCTCAGACGAAATAAAAAGTCACGTTTTTATTTGGTCTGAGTACAAACCATGTCTTTATTCCCATATAACAGAAGAAAACAGGGATTAAGTAAAACACTGCACTGCACTTGCAAGGGCACAAAATGGCCCACAAAGGGCGGGACAGACGAGCGATTAACCTAATCTATTACAAAATTTGACTTGCAATAGGTACCTATCATGTCATGATGTTTTGTTTTGTTTAATCGATAGTTAAATATAAGTCATACTTACATCAAAGTGATCTTCACAGAAGCATAGTTTAGATTTTGTAGACAATGCCTTCGGGTCTCTTCTTGCCAGTTTTAACCAAGTATTTCTCATATTTAAATCAGTTGGCACGTTAATCCATAACTTCCCCGGCGTTCTTGTGCTCGTATTTTTGCAGTTAGGCACAACACAACAATGATATAAATTATAACTCATTATTAGACATTCGAAAGTATCTTATTCCTTTGCAAAATTGTCAAAATTTTACGACAGTGACGTCACGAGTTGAACAGTATAGCGGCTAGAGTTATCACACGAAAATTGAAAATGATAGATTAAAAGTAATTTTTATGTGACTATTCGGTTTTAAAAAAATTATATAAAAATTATAGTGGTTCATTATCCCTCTAGGATTCATTTAAAACACTTTTTGAAAATGGGTGTAATACCCTATTGTTTAAATAATGGTTTGAAGTGGATTTTGATATGTAAAAATGGTGCAATTTTGTGTATTGAAACTAGTGCTCTGATGGTGATGTGTTTCTCAAGATAAGGTGTCTGTCTGCTTATGCGCCTTGAGATACCATAGCCAACTGTCAACTGTCTGCTGGCTCAAGTTGCCGTCAAAATCTCCTAAAGGCTGCACAATGTGACGCATCAACATATTGTGATGCAGTGTACTATGAAGAATAATTATACATTGTAACTTCAGGCTCAGAAGGGCTAGAACCCAGAGCTGTAAAGCCAGTTATTAAAAAACAGGGTTTATATTTTCCATGGAAATACATGTACTTCGTATGTATTCTATTCACAGAGTACTTTTTATATACTGAAAATTCTGTTTCTCACCAAACGTCAGTTTCTCTATCTAGTCTGTGTGTTTCTCACTTTGGCTGATAGGCTCAGAAGGGCAAGAACCCAGAGCCGTAAAGCCAATAAAAATCACTGTGGCTGACAGGTGACAGCCGACAGCTAAACTACATAGTATTTATTTATCTATGCTAAAATCTTAAAATTGAACTAAATTGCAAAACGATCTATTTATAACGTTTTTTAATAAAAGAAATCTTAATTAAATATATAGTCATAGTATATTGAACAAAGTTTTTACATTAAACGGTCAGAATTTGTTTATATTATACCAATTTAATATTATCAAATATGTTACGAAATAAAATATTTTATCGGGTGTGCATAAATTCAACAATGTTTAAAACAAATTTACGATCTTTAATTGCATCTCGAAAGTTTAGTTCAGGTAATAATAAACAAGTTAACGGCGCTTACGACGTCATTATCGCCGGTGGAGGCATGGTTGGTTGCACTTTAGCATGTGCATTAGGTAAGAATAATATTATGATGCAATTATAGTAACAAGTAATTTTAAAAAAATAATTATAATTTTATTTATTCTAGGTAAGAGAGCCTTACTGTCAAATTTAAAAGTCTTACTGCTTGAAGGCAATCCGAGTTCTGAATTCAGAGTAAAACCAGAATATAGCAATAGAGTTGTTGCTCTTAACCAGAATACAAAATCATTAATGAATTCATTGGAAGTATGGGAGCACGTAGAAAAAATGCGTCTTCAGCCGGTCAGGTATATGCAGGTAAATTATTTTAAAATATTAGAAGAGCAGTGATAGCTCAGGATCTAAGCGCTTGTTGTTAATACACAGTACGTGAACAACCTGGGTTCGATCCTCGTCGGCATCAATGAAATTGTTAATTGTAATTTTAAGTGCTGATTTACCACATGCTTGGGGTGAAGGAAAACATTGGACAAATGCAGGTTTCCAAGCACTAAAACCCTCTCAGAAATGAGAGGCCTGTGCCTAGCAGTGGGATGTATATAGGCTGTGTAGCTTTAACTTTATTAGAAGAAAGTAAATATTAGTTAAATTTCATCTATTTTGCCATTTGGCTTAAATTTCACTAGCTGATAGGACTCCATTTTTACCTAGGAGTCCATCTGCGAAGGTACTACCCCCATACTTGTTGCTGCCACTGAATGGCAGTGCACTGCTGTGCTCACTTTTGAATTGTATAGAGTGCCAGTATAATTACAGGAGGTGAGGCATTCCCTTTTAGTCCTCAGTGATGACAATGTATCAATAGCCTTTGTTTGAAGTTGGCTCCATGGTCTGTCATAGCCACTTACCGTCAGGTGGATTGTTAGTATATTTATCACTTCCGTTTTATTAAAAAAATAGTTTTTTGCCCACAGCTCTGCTTGTCCTTAATTAAAACCAGACGAATTTTTATTACTAAAATTATTGTTTTAACTAAAAGTGGCGAATATTCTACTGCAATGTACTTCTCTATACTAGATTTTGGACCCTAGAACAATGTGAGTGAGTTATGTAGAGATGATCTTGAGAAAAATATGCTGCACCCAAATGTAATCCCACTACTGGTAAAGTTTAACCTAGAGATTTATTAATTGTATTGAAAATACACCTTATAATGAGAATTGTAATCATATAAAATCAAACAGTAGGTTGTTTGGTTTTGGTATGATAGGAATGTGTGGTATGAGCTGTCTCTCCCTTGGCTTCTACCAACAAAGTATTGGCCTATTAGCAATGCATCTAAATGGCTAGTCATCAAGCTCATATATTAATCTAGCATAGTTACATATACCAAGATTACCATTACAGTCAATCCACTGTTGAACATAGACCTTCCTATTAGATTGCCCCATAAGGGGAATATTTGCCATAGATGCCATGCTTGGAAAGCAAGTGGGCAAGTGCTGGTGGTTATTTTAATTTTTTAGTTGTTATTAGGTAATACTGCTGCCCATCTCCTCGCTTGTTTTCCTCTGTCACCTCTTACTGTAACCATGAGGTGATATGAGGTAGTGGATATTCATATTTTTCCACTGCTATGGTTTATAATTCTACTATTATAGTACAGGCATCGCACGCAATATAGAAATGAAATTTTATTTGTGATTTTTTAGCACCATGAATTTAAAAAAAAACTGTAGACTGAAACTTTTTATTGTGTTAAAAGTTGAAACTATTTTAATTATAAAAAAAGCTTGTTATTGTAGTTTGTGATCTATAATATTGCTAAGTTTCATCAAAATCTGTTCAGTAGTTTTTGTGTGATTGAACCATAAACATGCAAATGTGTAAACAAACTTTCACATAATATATGACATTTGTACAAGTACATATAGCTGTTATCTGGAAAATCCTAGTATTCTAACTGATAGGTTAGTAGGTGATATGATTTAAGTTGATTAATGTTTTCATAAAACAAGTGCAATAGATTTGACTGAATTAATTATTAAATATGCAAGGACTAATATACCATATATATAGTTTATTTATAGTTGTAGTTAATTTTGTTATGTATATTGTCAGGCACAGGAATTACATGCTTCAGTTCCTCTCTCTCCTTTCCACCATCGGAGAACCAGACTGTCGGCAGGTCTTCACCACTTTGTTGTCGATATTCCACACTCTAGAACCAAACGGCTTGCGTCATCTTTTGTAATGTGTACAGCAAAGGAGTGGTATGATTTGCCGACGTCTGTCTTGCCATCTGGGTGTCTTCGGCAGGAGTGAACTTTTGTTACGCCAAGACAGTGCTATTTACCATCTAGGGCTTCATTACCTCTTACCACCAGGTGGGATTGTGGTCAAGCACTGGCTTAATATAAGTAAAAAAAAATTACAACATAGGATTGCTTACTATGTGATTTGTGTTTCATTGACATTCATATCTGTATAATTCTTTCAGGTTTGGGATGCCTGTTCAGATGCTTTAATATCATTCAGTAGTTCTGATCTTCAAGATGATGATGTTGCCTACATAGTTGAAAATGATGTTTTGCTGTGCGCAATTGATAAAGAACTGAAAAGTTCTAATATTAAGAATGTTGATATAGTTTATGGAGCAAAAATTTCCGGATATGATCTACCAAAAATAAATGACACAAAAATGGAAAGCACAGTTAAAATGAGTAATGGGGATACCTATAAGTGCCAGTTACTGGTAAGTACCTCAGATTTATCTTTATTACCTACATTGTAATCATTTTTACTTGAATTACATATGTAAGTAAACATAGTTTTAAATTTTACTATTACTAATTCTTTTAAAGTCTACTCTTAAGAAGGTATTTTATATATATATATATATATATATATATATATATATATATATATATATATATCTGAATACATATTACACTCTTCACTTTATAAACAGTCCACTGTTTATGAAGTGAAGTAGTAGAAAAAGGCTGCCCCTCTCACTCTTAGAAAGTTGCAGCGAAGCATGGAGCATGTTATCATATATAGCCTTATTTTTCACATGAATATAGTTGTTTTTTTTTTCTGAGAAGGAGCAACTATTAGGTGGTTCTGGATGGAATGGATGTGTGTGTAAATGTTCTCATATCTTTACAATTGATATTTCACATGCATGCTATATGATCTCTATGATTATGGCAATCATAGAGATCATATAGCATACATTAGGAAAGTGGCCTTTATCAAATACATTGGTAATTTATTTTTTAAATTTATTTATTATTATTTTTTATTTCCTATAATTATCAATGTTGTTATGTAATTTTATTAACCAAAACAATATTTACAATTTGTCACAAAAATTGTCTAAGGTATTCTTTAATAAAAGTCAAGTTTATTTGCATACAAAAGTAATAGTACCTAGGTTTATTTAGAACACTTTCGAAGATAATTATTTAATGACAACATACTTAAAATACATTACATTGCAATTTTTTCGGTTTTATTTTTCTTTTTATTCATCTATTATCAAGTTTATTTTCTATTACATTTAACTTGGACTCGGTAGCTTCAAGTAATTTGTTGATTTTCTTTGTCAAATCAGCTAGTTGAGTTTTTATGTCAACCATACATATTTCTTGTATTGTGTTGATGTTCACTGACATAGGTCGGTTCCTATTCTCTACAGAACTCGATGTAGTTCTTTTTCTTCGCTCCACTTGTTGGTTCTCTAAGGAAAATTGATCATACAAATTGCTTTTCCGTTTCACGACGCGCCTTTCGATATCTTCATCTTCTTTACATTTCCGTATACGACATTCGTAATTATTATTCCTACGTATACTCTTTTTTGTAATATTTCGGCTGGCCACCATTTTATAAATCGATGATATCAGCTCTTTGGGTATCTGAAATGAGAGGAAAGCTTCAAAAACTTCCAGAATTTCCATCTTTAAACTCATTTCATGATGTTTTACTTACTCGATTTTCCCTTGGGTCGTTGGGTCGAATGTTTAGCGTCCGCATGTGAGATGCGGTAAGTAAAGCACCCCAACGCAACACCGCTAGTAATTGCTTAGGTGCGCAAGTTAACAAAGAACTAAATAGCATGCTTTCGAGATGCGCTACTAATTGCGTCTGACGCACCAGTCTATCTAGACCGGCACTTTCTTGTAAAGCCTGAAAAATAATAGATATACATTATTTTATAGGAACATATAATCTAATTAGAAATATGAGATTGAAAACATAGTATAAATAGTAAATACCTGTATATCGCTTACTGCTAATCCAACTAGCAAGTTTGTTAATATAACAGTAACAAGCAAGACAAATATCAAGAACATTCCATGTGCTGTAAAGGGATATTGGATCTTGGATGCGGTGCCGTTGTCATAGAATATGTCCTCATACTCCAGCTCACCGGACATCATCATCACAGTCTTGACCAAACCGGCGGGAAGATGAAATGCGGGGTAGTTGCTGAATAACACGCTAAATGCAAGACCGAACGCTATTAATAGGCAACTATACGCCAGAAGGAACGTTGCGAAGTTCACCGTAACTGTAAATAATTACAATACAATAATTTTAGTAATCTTTACATAATTAAAAAAAATAGGTGTGTCAACTTTCACTATCTACTTTCTATTTAGTGGGTAATTAGAAAGCTTCTTTTTTGAAAAATTCAAAATCGATTTTAATGAAAACTTAATCAGTGCTCAATTACACGTCGAATAAAATTAGTTTGGAAATGCGAGACGATAAAAAATCATATGAACGTACACGTACACATGGACATTTTATAAAAACAGTAGAATCGAACAGGAAAAAAAAACTATGAACCTGAAAACTTAAAAAATATTTATCAACCCACATACTATAGACATTTATCATTTTGACTATGGAAACCTTTGCATTTCAACAACATATTTATAAATTAAAAGTTAATAATTGTTATATCCACAAGCGAATTCATTGCTTAAATGAAAAACTCTTGCTTTTCCATTCCATTTCATTCCAAGCATTACTATAATACTAGGTAATAACACGAAAGAGCATTACCAAACAATAATGACAAGTATCCCTAAAAGTAATTTTTTCGAATTTCGAATATGTTTTTCGTGTGTTGAATGTAAGTATTTAAAGAGCTTCCATAACGTAGAAGTAAATTAAAACTAGGGAAACGTTTCTTCTTTAAAAAAAAATCACTTTGATTGTTACCTGTAGTGAACATCTGTACGTACAGGCCAAATGTTGGGAAACGGCCAATTATCATCATCAGTTCCAGCCAACAGAAGAATACAGTTACAGCGGCTACATCATGCTGCCAATTTGATGTGATTTTTGCTACCCCATCCTCCATATACCATGTTGGCACCTGAAAATATTATTACTTGTATTTTGATTTATTTGGCTATATTTTGGTGATTAATATAAAATACTAGCGATCCGCCCCGGCTTCGCACGCGTGATTTCTGGATCTCGACAACAGCGCCACCTACCGGGTCCAATTGTTAATCAAACACACACAAAAAGTTTCATCAAAATCGATCCAGTCGTTTTCGAGTTTTAGCAAGAGTAAATGAGTTATAGAGTAAAAGTTAATTTTTATTTTTTATTATTTTTAACGACCCCGCACTGCCCTTTGTGGGTGAAATTTTATAAAATCCGTTCGTGGTAATTTAAAGTAAGCTAAGGTAAGCTAAGGTTCAGCAGTGGACTTTTGATAGGATGTAATAAATAGTGAGACATTTTTTTAATTATCAAACGAAAAGCAATATACTCACCGTACACAAAAACACGCCAATAATTATCAATATCTGCAACCAATTCTCCCACTGCCTAATATATGCAGAGTAATCCAGGCATAACTGAAATAGCTCCTTGCACATAAAGCACAGATTGAGAAGGAGGATCAAATATTGTACAGGCCGGAGATACGATGGTACAGCACAGGTCACGTCCTCGCACAGGAATATTTCTGGAATGATAGTTTTTTCAACATCTGTTATATCTATTTTTTTTTGCTTTGTGTTCTGCTATTTACTATTATTATTTGAGAGAGTATGAGTTAATTATTCTGGCCATTAAGTATAGTCTGCACTTTATTTTTAACTTGTTTTGATAACGAAAAACATACGCTGAATGACACAATCTAACGTCACACATTGTACAGGAGTCTTTTTTTTACTTATTAGCTGCCAGTGTTTGACCATCCCACCTGGTAGTAAGCAGGGTATAAGCCGAAAATGGTAAATCGCACTGTCTTAGCGCAATAGAATAATAATAATAATAATAAAAATGTTTTATTTCAGTAAATCTTTTTTACAATTGATTTGCCAAGGCCTCCCAGAAAGTAATCCTAAGATACTTGTGTTGGGAGTGCCTCGCTCTTCCTATGCAATCATAACACTTCGATTCACATTATAATATAAAAATAGCCAAATTTGATTTAATAGAACAGAGTTACGTATTTAATAGAAAGAAAGGAGTTTATGAGAAATGAATACCTGAGTAGTTGAATCCGTAGTGTGTTAGTTTGAGGTGTGCGTGCGCGCACGCGCGCGTGTGTGTGTGTGTGTGTGTGTGTGTGTGTGTGTGTGTGTGTGTGTGTGTGTGTGTGTGTGTGTTTGTCTGTGTGTGTCTGTGTGCGTGCACGTGTGCGTGTGCGTGCGCGTGTGCGTGTGCGTGAGTGTGTGTGCGTGAGTGTATCTCTGTGTGTGTATGTGAGTGAATGTTTTTGTTTATGTATATGTGCACGTATGTGAATGGTTGTGTATGTGTGAAAGTTTATGAATGTGTCTCACCCACTGATTTGTATTGTGTATGTGTGTTATTTACAGCAGGTTCAACTCTTTCTTACCAAAATGTCTTCCACGTCATCATAATTAAGAGAATAGATGCCTATTCACTCTTGCCTAGAAGACACCTCGATTGTAATCGGACGGAAAGACAGACGCCGGCAAATGAATATATTTATATATATTTAATTTTATATTAGCAAATTACTAATGCGTGGAATATCGACAACAAAGGGTTGAACACCCACCGACAGTCTGGTTGTCCGATGGTGGAAAGGGGAGGGAACAATTAAAGAATGTAATTCATGCGCACACTCCGAAATGCATCCTATAGAATACCGGTTGGCTACTCTGCGTTTGTGCTCGAATCTATACTTGTAACTAATAAAAATCTGGTATAATCACTTTTGCTGTCTTATAAAAGGAACTACGAGTATTAAGAAGGCAAGAGTGAACAGATTTGACTCTGTTTCAAAAATAAGGTCCCTTGGTAAAAATGTGAACTAGAATATTCTAGTTCACATCACACAAAACTGGTGCTTCTCATGTGTTCCCATATAAATTTGATCAAGATCTGATCAGTAGTTTTTGATCCTCATCCTTAATAATGCGTATTTAATTGATTTCAACTACATTGATGGTCTTCTCATTTTATTTATGTTGAAGTAGGTTGTAATTTTTTTTTTTAATTTTACCACTTGTGTAATACGACCGTTGGATTTGATAAAGATACTTACGTAAAATGTAGAGACTGTACAGCGTTATAAACAAAGCGTGGTAAACGAAGCTAAGCACGAAAAATTTTCGTATTCTTCGCCACTTCAAGAACAGAAAGGTTTCTGCTACTGGATGCTTGAGAACATCTTTATGACCGACCTGTAAAGTTATATCAGTGTGTAGTATTTTTAAAACTTCAACTCCAATAGAATTATTACAT